ACTCCACAACAGACAGGAGGAACTATTGATTTTTTGCAACCCTTTAAATTATTTATGCTGTATGCTGATATGGCTCATCTACTCAAGGAGTGGCATAACTCGAAAAATGTATTTCTAGGATTGCCAATTTCTTTTTTATTTCTACCAATTTTGCTTTTTCTTTCATTAAAATTTTGGGTATATTGGACCAGTTAAGCAAGTTAATTACAAAATAGGTCATGTCGGTCCATGACTAAGACTTTCGACTTGTGTAGTCGGAAACTCCCTCTCTGTATCGAAATTAATGTGGAAAGTAAGTTCTAATTTGTACGCTTAAGGAATGTCGCATTATCTTCATCCTACCTATATTAAAGTTTTTTTCGGCTCCAACAGTTTTCAAGTTTTGCTGGGGTGACATGCGGCCAAGTGTTTGTAGGTAGTTGGTGGTTTTCATACTATGGGTTGAATGTTTTGAATTTGATTGGGCTAAAAATTATGTAACAACTCAAAATATTGGTCCTGGACATAGGATGTTATATATCAATCTAGCAATGGCCCGATCCCGATGATCAGAATATAAGTCTATTGCCTTTAGAGATGATTACAAAATATTTAGAGGTTGAAAGGGACCAGAATGGGGTTGAAATACGCCATAACTTTTATGTAAAAAGTACGAAAACGTCAATTAATTCTCAAATATATTTAATCCCGGGGATATTACAAACAAGGTCACTTCTAACATTTACATATATGCCGATATCAGATATATGGTGAAACAGATACAATCTATATATATCAAAGAAAGGGGTGTCAGTTAAACCGCTTATAACTCGAGAACGGCTGGACAGATTTTGACAACTCTTACCAACACAGAATGGCTTTTTTGCAGAAAAGAATAAAAACAAAGAAGAAATTCTATAACAGTCGCAATTATCATCTAATCCTCTCGAAATTTTGCATGGTGGTTAAGTCATTATTAAAGCTTAATGCTTCCATTTTTTTTTTTTACTTTTTTTTTGGAAAATTAAAGACCGATCGACAAGGAATTTTTCATAATTTTAGGACAGGGAAGAAGCCGAGCTCTTTGGATAGCTATCAGATATTATTTTGGGAGTCAAAATGGATCATAAATGTTGCTTTGCGGTATTTTGGCTCATTCCCGGCGAAGCGCTTGTTTGAGGTGATCAACACTTTGGTATTTTTTAGTGCTAACCTTGCTTTCCAAAATACTCCAGACACAATAGTCGAACGGATTGGCGTCCGGAGATTTTGGTGGCCATTGTGCGCTGGAAGTGTAGCGAGGAACCTCATTTTGTAATCATTGATGGGTAGGGCCTGCTGAGTGCGATGGTGCTGAGTCCTGTTGGAATGTCCAAGGTCTGCGGCCAGAATGTTTGCGTGCCCAAGGCTTTAATACACCCTCCAGAATATTTTCGCGATAATATTCGGCATTTATTCTGAGGCTGTTATGGCGGCCCACATCATCACCAGCGCTTGAGTTCAGGTGGCCAACCGAAGGTGCATATTTTCAGCTGACCTCTTTGGCAAGTTTGTGCTGGACAACGAATGTTTTCTCATCGGAGAAAATCAAATTCGGCAGTTCAATACTTTCGGCCAAGCGAAGCAATTCTTTTGCTCTTTTGAGTCTATTTTCTTTATCCAAATATAAAGAAATCACATTATCACGCTTGACTTCCATCACGAATATGTATTTTTCTGGAAAATTCTCAGCAAAATGCTTTTGTACGCTTGTAAAGAATATAATGAGCTGTCACTGGAATAATTTAAACAGCTGTCGGACGAGTGGTTTAGCAATGACAGCAGTCTGAATTTGGTTGCAGTTTTTTCATCTCACCCTATATATTCTTGATCAGCCTGATATTCTATGTCGATTTAGTCCATGTCCGTCCGTTCCTTTGTACATTCAAGTTCATATAAGTTTTGGTATTGAAAATGGACCATATAAGTCGACATGTATATTTAGCCTCGATATAACTGTATCTCCAGATTTAAGGTGTCTTGGCTGTTTTATTCATTCACCTCCGCTAACAAAAAATTGTTGATATAGGTACACGAAAAAATGTTTCTAAATTAGAAAAAAATTCATGAAGTTAATATGGAAAATGTGGTCCTGGAGCAGAACATGGCAGGAGGTTTGTGTGAAATTGGTTTCTAAAATTTCTATTAATAGGATATAAAGATCGATAGGTAAGAACTAGAAGTAATGAACTTTTGAAAAATCAGCATTGTGGCAGACATATTTGTTGATATTCATAAATCTTACATGGTATGGTATTTCAAAAAAATACTAAAAATTAGTACATTGCTATTAATTTTGCAAGAAATTTGTTAGGAATACTATTTACTGTCAATGGAAAAAATAATATAAAAAAAATAATTATAAAATAATAATAAAAATACCCAAATATGAAAAGGATTTAATAGGTTAAATTCTTTAGGATTTAATAGGTTAAATTCTTTTTTTTTTTTGTTATTGTTAGCTTTTTTTAAGAGGAAGGTGATTCTTGACATTCTTTCATCCGGCAGATTTCAAAAACATTTGACCGTGATTAAAAAATAAACTGTTTTTATGTTAATTTCTTTCATATCAAGTAAAACTTTTTCAGAAATTGGATTTTTAATTTTTTTTTTTTTTTTTGATAGACTCAGGTAATGAAGCAGATTCCATATAATATTGCTGTTCGTTTTAAAGTATTATAAGGGTTCTAGTCACCTTTTTCACCCAAGCTGGATGTAATTTGTTTATACTCCAATTTCATGGAAATACAATTTACTGGAGGTCAAAACTATCAAATCATTAAACGTACATTTGCAAACATCATCACTAAACCTCTTTAATTTATGTAGCAAATCAAACCTAATGTATGACCACTTGAGTTTATGACTATTCTTTGGGTTCTATATTCTACACAGAAAAATTATTCACTGTCAAATGCCGGCAATATAAATAGTTTATTAAACCAACACGTGTGTGCGTGTGTCTACCAAATTCTTCCAATATCTACATATGCCAATGCCACAATAATAGAACACAAATCTAATCAATTATTGAACACATATATGATTTATGATCGGACAGTGAAAATAAAACAGGTTGACACCACAAGATGGATGGATGGGAGTCATATATTTGTAGTTTGCACATCAAATGAATGATCCATTAAATCGACCATAAAAAACCACCTGCGAATGAATACCCATAGCTAATAGATTTTTAGTTGTTTTTGTTAATTTTCTATTGTCACAACAAAATAAAATTTAATATACCTATATTCAGAGAATATTGGAGTGTATGTAAAATTTTATTACATATTAAATGAAGTATTAATTTTTTTTTTGTGTTATGAAAGGGCTGTATATGTGGAGGCTCTGTACAAAGTTACATGGGTACATCCTTGCAGCTACTTTATGTGGTCAACGACCACTATTTCAAGGTTTTTTAGACAGAGTGACAAATTAAAAAAAAATGGTGGAAAATCTTTGTGGAAAAAAGAGTTTTGAATTTAAGAGGAGCATATAATATTTCGAAGTGTTCTGATTTTTGACAAAAATATGTATTATGGTTAAAACGGAAAAAATGTATATGATTTACATGGTGAGATGAAAAAAACTGCAACCAAATTCAGACTGCTGTCAATTCTAACCCACTCGTCCGAAAGCTGTTACAATTATTCCAGCGACAGCTTATTATAATGTATACAAGCGTATACAAGCATTTTTGTAAAAATTTTCGTGATGGAATTCAAGCGTGATAGTGTGATTTCTTTATATTTGGCTGTAAACCCACAAGGGGCTATTGTTAGAGCACTACAGCATTTAAATATGAATAAATCGTGCCATCGCTTATTACCGTGATACTAGTAGCGTAGCCCGACGTCAAGGAAGTGGACGGAAAAAATAGCAACATTAGCAGAAATGGTTCGAAAAGTAACGAAGCGACTTGATCGAAACCCGCGCAACATATCGCAATATTCCATTCGGCAAATATTGAAAAATGAGCTCGGAATAAAGTCATTGAAATTCTAAAAAGTGCAAGAACTTACGCCGCAACAGAAAGAAAATAGACTCAAAACAGTTTAAGAGTTGCTTCGCTTGGCCAAGAGTGGTGAACTGCCGAATTTGATTTTCCCCGATGAGAAAACATTCGATGTCCAGCAGTTTGTCAGCAAACAAAATGATCGTGTGTAGTTGCCAAACGCCACCCAAGCATGGTTACAAAATGAGGTTCCTCGCCTCATTTCCAGCGCACAATGGCCATCAAAATCTCCGGTTACCAATCCGTTGACCAATTCGCATTTTTTTATCTCACCCTGTATATATGGAAGTTATAGCTATATCTGTACTGAAAATGTACGAACTTGATTCTAGGCTAAATTTAGTGATCTCTGTCAAAGTTCATCCCTTTTGTCCTAATTTTATACATTTGGCGAAAAATATACTTGAAATCGAACGATGATATATATGGGAGCTACATTCAAATCTGGACCGATCTGGATAAAATTTGGTAGAGGTATTTCTAAGTTGTATCAGATATCCTACACCTGTGGAGTGCATATTAAGAATATCGGGGACTTAATCCCAAATCGGATGAACACTATATACGGGAGCTATATCTGAACTCACACAAAATTTTAAGTACTTGCTTCTGACCTGAATTCGATATATGTACAAATGGACACTTCAATACACCTGTATATATAAACGTATAATTCTCCAAAAATATATATTTTTACTGGTGGTAATTTTTAAAAAAGAAAAAGACAAATTTTTTCCTAATACTTTTTTTAAGACTTTAACACCTACCGAACGATTCCAAATCAATCTCCCGATATAGACCAACACAAATACAAATATGTTATTAGAAAATTGATATTGATTAAATTACAAATATTTTCAAAATTTTATTAAAATATTACAACAATTTTCCAATTAACTTTTCTTCCCAACAATGCATTCACAATCGGATAATATTAAATTAATGCTGCGTTAATATACATCAGTGGTATCCACGAATGGTAAGTGAGATAGTGGCATTTGCAAAACATATACCCGTGATTGACACTACAGTTTTGCATAATTTTTATTTTTACATTTTTTTTCTTTGTTAAACAAAACCATTACTTTGAAATGTTTTAATATTTTTTTTCATTGTTTGGTAATTATCACTTCATTATATATTATTATTATTATTTAGGTTATTTTTTAATCATATTGCGTTTTTTCTCCTTTTAATTGTTTTAATGTTTATGTTAATTGTAGGTATTTTTTTACTGTAAATGATTATAGTTTTTTTCGACAGGGTTTTATATAAATTACTTGGTATTTACCATATAAATTGACTTTAAAATTGCATTATTTACATTCTCATTTTTATTGTATTTAATTGCTTTAATAGTTTTTAAAAATAATAATTGCATTAATTTTCTGATATTGTCATAATTTTTCTTTTATATAGTTAAGAATTGCTGCCTTGAATGAGCCATACATTGGTGATCTACAAGGTATACGAGGAGCTGATTTTGCCTGTTATCGTCAAGGTAGAAGGGCAGGTCTTTTGGGCACATTTAAGGCTTTCCTATCCTCGAGGTAAGTATTTTTCCATGTAAATAAGTAGGTGTGAACTCAACCTGTATTGAAATTTCAAAAATTATTTTTATATTTGAATACAACTATGCATAACCTATATGAGACTTGTACATAGTTAGATTCCTTCTTAGGTTTTAATGCCAAAAAATAAATCGTTGTAACTGGCCCTTACGCATATTAATAATTTAAAAGTTCCAAACCTTGGTAAACAATACAATTTATTCTCCACTAAGTAATAAATGCTCCTTTTATAATATGATAGTTATAAAAACGACAACCATGTGAATGAATCAAAGTCTTTTGAAAAAAGAAACAAGTAATACAGCTGTAAGTTCGGCCGGGCCGAACTTTGAATACCCTCCACCATTTGGAACGAATTTGGCAATTTTCAAAAAAATAAAAACCGTCTAAAAAATCTTTAAAAATAAAATCTTAAAAATACCAAATGTAGCCGTTATAGTAGGGTCTATACGATGATGTGGACCAGCATAGGCAACTTTTGTCATAGGCCATTACAACATTCAAATGCGAAACTTGAAAAAAAAATCTGTGAATAATATAGCTAAAATCATCAAAATACCCAATATAGGGAGGTACCATTTTGGCTATACCAAAACGGGGACCTGCACAGAAAATTTTCTGTCTTAGGCTGTAGTATCCGTTACGATCTTCAAATACCAAAGTTGAAACAATTTCGGTGAATAATGTCGCTAAAATCATCAAAATACCGAATAACGGGAGGTACCGTTATATGGAGGCTATACGAAGACGTGGACCTGCACAGACAATTTTCTGTCATAGGCTGTAGTATCCATTATGTACTTCAAATACCAAATTTAAAACAATTCCGGTGAATAAATTCGTTAAAATCATCAAAATATCGGTAGGTACCGTTGTATGGGGACTCTACGAAGACGTGGACCTACACAGACAAAAAAAATTATGCTGATCAAGAATATATACTTTGTGGGGACTAAAATGTATATTTCGAGGTGTTACAAACGGAATAACAAACTTAATATACCCTCCCTGCTATGGTGGAGGGTATACAAAATATACACTGTTTATCAGTGGGAAAATGTACATTTATACGTAATCAAATTTTCTACCATTGGTGTTCTGAAAGGTTTTCTTCTAACTGGTAATGACCGTCTACACTAACAGAATCCCAAAAACAAGTAAAAAAAACATTAAGTTCGGCCGGGCCGAACTTCTAATACCCTCCACCTTAGGGTAATTGAAACATTAGAACCAATTATAACCCACAAATACCAATTTTTAGACATATTCGTGGGATAATCTAGCAAAAATCATCAAAATACCGAATATCGGGAGGTACCGCTGAATAAGGCTATAAAAAACGTGGACCTATACATACAATGTTTCGGAGCTAGAACCTATTATGACCAACTAATTCCAATTTTTAGACAAATCAAACCCATTATGACTCACAAAACCCATTATGACTCACAAATACCAATTTTTAGACAAATCCATAAAAAAATGTGGGAAAAATCATCAAAATACCGAATATCGGGAGGTACAGTTATATTGGGGCTATGCCAAATCGTGCAATGTTTCGTCACCGGCGCAAGAACCCATTATGACTCACAAATACCAATTTTTAGACAAATCCATAAAAAAATGTGGCAAAAATCATCAAAATACCGAATATCGGGATGTTCCGTTATGTGGGGACTATACCAAGACGTTGACCGATATATGTCATTTTCAGTACCAACCATCCTAGACACAATACATATTATTCTGCTAAATGTTGATGCTCTACGTCAAATAATGTGGCCTGTATCGTGATTTCAGTAGACAGACAGACGGACATCTCTCGACTTAGAATTTTATGCTGATTATGAATATATATACATTATGGGGTCTTCGACGAATATTTAGACATGTTACAGACGGAATGACAAAGTTAATATACCCTCCTTTCCAAGGTGGAGGGTATAATAATGACTACCACGTACCCTCTGCATAGTGAGTTATTCCTTTAAAATTTTCAAAGTAAAATAACTTACTTTTATCATGCCATAATTTTATAAATTCCGAATATCGGGTAACGTGAACACTACAGCCAGTTATCTGCCAGGTAAGATTGGAACTATAAAAAAACTTGGACCTATATTGACAATGTTTTGCTACAGAAGATAGAGTCCGTTACAAACTCTAAGTACTGAATTTCTGTTTGAAAATGTAGTTTAAATCCTCGAAATTCCGAATATCGGAAAATACAGTTATATGAGGCCAATAAAAAAATGTGGACCCATTTGCAAACTTAACCTGCCTACAGACAAACACAGACACACACAATCTATCTCAGTTCATTCTAAGCCGTAATTACAATGGCAGACAGACATTGCTATATCGACTTAGAATTTTACGCTCATCAATAATATATATACTTTGTTGGGTCTAACATGATATTTTGATATTTCGAAAGTCCAAAGTATGGGAGGGAGGGTTTAAAAACATAGAGAGGCGAACATCATGTGTCCATTTTGTGATTATACATAAATCACTAAAAGGGATTATTGGTCTATATCGTTTCCCTTTGCATGGTACATACAAATGCACATAAACATAATACCATGTACCACAGTGTGGCGTTGGTATAATAACCAATGTCTGCTCCCACACACACCCACATCTAAGTAAGTAAGTATCTTATATTGGATAGTCCTTTGATCACTATTATAATTCTTTTATTTTCACAATAACGATTGAGGTCAAGTTGAAGCAGTCAACTTCTCAAACGTGCTGCACTCTGTAGTCTTGAATATATTTGTATATACTTCTGTCGACTGTTGCAATTTACGAAGCTTAAGACTTTTATTATTGTAACTTTTGCTGCATACACGTGTTTTTTGTTGTAGTGGCACAAACCTTGTGTGTGTGTACAATTTCTCTGCCCTGAGCATTTGTGGGTATGTGCAGCGTCTTGCAAAGTTAACATTTGAGCTTCGAGTGTTAACTCATGCATCTGCATAAATACATACACAGGTATGTACCTACTTTTCGCATACCCATTCAACCTACATAAGCTTTGTTCTGAGCCTCAGACATATTTAACGATGTTATGATGGTAACTATGCATATATGCCCTCTATTTGTATGGGGAGGGAAATATGGATGTTTTCGAAATTTTCATAAACTGAAATAAATTGAACCAAAATTCATCAATATATTTTGAAGGTATATAATTTAACATATACCTTCAAAAAATATTAGGTAGATGATATGTCGCCAAATGTAGGGGAAATGGAACGTGAATATTATGTAAAATTGTCTTACCTCGACCCATTATCCAACCATATTGCAAAGTTCTCCTCATCGATTATTTTTTACCCATCCTATTGTGACACATTATGCCTTAGCATAACTGCTGTCACATGTATATGCTTATATGTATAAAAATAGCTTTCTTAGGTTATCTGTATGTACAACTTTTCATTTCGTTGTGATGGTTTATTCAACCTGTAACCTCTAAACTAAAAAGTGCTCAGTGTCATAACCTACATAACGTATGCCATTGCTACATGACATTCTGTGGTGCTCTTAGTTTCGTACCAAAATAGAAAATACAAAATCTTGAAGAGAAAATGCTATCTTGAATGAACGTGACCAAGAAAGGCATGATGTTTACCAAAAAGTGGTAACAACATTCTTTTGAAATATAAATAATAAAACAATTGGGTGTAGTTAAAGAGCAAAAAAAAGTGTTTCTTTGAAAACAGTAGTACAGTTCTTTATAAGCATAACCTTTATGAAGACCAAGAATATGCATGCTTTCCCATGTTCTCGAGTCATTTTAGACCTACATAATTTAGACAAATATTCGATCGATCGATTAATATGAGCGGAAAGCGACCATCGGCTGTTATGGCGGCCCACACCATCATGGCGCTTGAGTTCAGGTGGCCAATTGAAGGTGCACATTTTCATCTGACCTCTTTGGCAAGTGAACACGATCATTTTGTTTGTTTACAAACTGCTGGACAACGAATTTTTTCTCATCGGAGAAAACCAAAATCGGCAGTTCATCACTTTCGGCCAAGCGAAGCAACTCTTTAGCTCTTTTTAGTCTATTTTCTTTCTGTTGCGGTGTAAGTTCTTGAACTTTTTGGAATTTTAATGACTATACCCCTAGCTCATTTTTCAATATTTGCCGAATGAAATGGCCACTGCGACGCGGTTTTCGATCAAGTCGCTTTTTTACTTATCGAACCATTTCTGCTGATGTTGCTGTTTTCTTCTGTCCATTTCCTTGACGTCGGGCTGCGCTACCAGTCTCACGATAACGAGCTATGGTACGAGACACAAAAGATTTATTCTCATTTAAATGCTGAAGTGCTCTAACGATAGACACTTGTGGTTTTCCAGCCAAATATAAAGAAATCACACTATCACGAATAACTTTTTTTCTGGAAAATGCTCACCAATATGCTTTTGAACGCTTGTAAACAATATAATGAACTGTCACTGGAATAATTTTAATGTCGGATGAGAGGCTTAGAAATGACAGCAGTCTGAATTTGGTTGCAGTTTTTTCACCTCAACCTGTATAGCTAGGTAATACATCCGATTTGTATAAATATTACAGATAGGGCGCGAAATACAATTGAAATCGGTCCGAGATATATATGGGAGCTATATCTAAATCTGAACCGATATTCACCAAAACTGCCAGACATACTTCTGGACTAAACTTGAATGTGTGTGCGGTCCGGTCTGGTATTGTTCACATATGCTCCACAATACTTATGAAATCGGACGACAGTATTTATTGGAGCTATATCCAAATCTGATCCGATTTGGTATTTGAAGTTCAAAATGGGTTCCAACATCGGTGTCGGAACATTGTTCATTTTGATCCACTGTTTCCATATTACAGTACCCACCTATATTTTGTATCCCAATGATAGTAGCCAGATTTCCCATGAAATTTTCATAAATGTATTTTAGACGCACAATAGATAACAATG